TACAGTGTTACTGTAGTTGCTTTGGCTTCTCCTAATCTAAGTTTCCTGAAAACAGATAGAGACATTAAATTAATACTTGCGCCAAATTCACACAAAGATTTATCAAAGTAAAAATCACCAATAGTGTAAGGGACAGTGAAACTCCTTGGATCTTTCAATTTTGGCGGAAGCTTTTTCTGAATTTTCGCGCTGTATTCCTCAGTTAACATCACTATCTCATGTTCCTCGAGCTTCCACTTGTTTGATAGAATGTCCTTCACGAATTTGGTGTAACTAGGCATTTGGAACAATGCACCAGCCTGTGGGATGTTTATATGGAGTTTTTTGAACACTTCAAGGAATTTTTTGTATTGCTGTGCTCTACCGTGGCCAAAAATGGCCTACCTAACATTAGCGGAACATCCTTATCCTCTTCAATATCCAAGATGATGAAATCATTAGGGTAGATAAATTTTACCACCTTGACTAGCAGTCCTCTATTATTCTCCTTGGGTGTGTTAATGATCGATCAACTAGTTACAATGTTACTGTGGTTGCTTTGGCTTCTCCCAATCTAAGTTTTCTGAAAACAGATAGAGGCATTAAATTAATACTTGCACCAAATTCACACAAAGATTTATCAAAGTAAAAATCACCAATAGTGTAAGGGACATTGAAACTCCCTGGATCTTTCAATTTTGGCGGAAGCTTTTTCTGAATTTTCGCGCTGTATTCCTCAGTTAACATCACTATCTCATGTTCCTCTAGCTTCCACTTGTTTGATAGAATGTCCTTCACGAATTTGGTGTAACTAGGCATTTGGAACAATGTACCAGCCTGTGGGATGTTTATATGGAGTTTTTTGAACACTTCAAGGAATTTTTTGTATTGCTGCTCCATCTTATGCTTTTTCAATCGTTGTGGGAATGGAATGGGTAGTTCATAAGGATTAACTGGATCATTTGGCATTTGCTGTGATACTTCTGAACTTCCTTTCATCGGTGTCTTCCTAGTAGTGTCGATCTACTCCTCATTATTTTTTTCAGAAGAATCCACAGTCACTTTATTTGCACCTGGCCTTTTTACATGTATCTCAAGTAGTTGAACCCCACTTCTTGTAGTAATGGCTTGAGCATGCTCCTTAGGATTCACTTCGGTGTTTCTTGGCAATGTATTAGGCAAAATTTCTATCATAGAAAGAGCTATCTACCCCATCTGTGTCTCCAAATTCTTAATAGCAGCACCCTATTTTTGGAAATTTGTTTCCGTCTTTCTCATGAATTGGTTAGTTGTTTTCATGTATTTATCTATCTTTTCTATGAGTTTTGAAAACATCTCCTCCAATTAAGGTTTCTTTTCTTACTAAAACAGCCTTTGAGCTCTGATGTATTTTGATTTCTATCCCAAGAGAAATTTGGATGATTTTTCTCCTCGGATTGTTAGTGTTAGAATGGTGGTTGTTGTGTTGATGTTAACTCCAATGGGCATACTCCACTTGTTCCATTCCTTGTGAAATGATGGGATATTCAGTTGTGTCATGCTCTCCCCCACATTCCTCACAATTGGACTTTCTTACTTGTGTTGAATTTACTGCTTTTGATATGCTCTCTACCATGTGAAATAATGAATCAATCTTTATTGATAAGGCCAAGTAGTTATCTACCTCGTAGACTCTAGCTAATTTCTTTGGACCTACTCGATCTGAAGACCAAATGGCCAAAATACTAGCCATTCTCTCAAACAACACCCAAGCTCCATCAATCGATCTTGTGGTTACGGAGCCATTTGATGATGAGTCCACCATGCTCCTGAAAGTTGGAAGTAATCCTGTATAGAAGAATCTGATTTGTGATGGCTTGTCGAACCTATGTTGAGGACATTTCCTTAGCATGTTCTTAAATTTGTTCCATGCCTCATCAAATGACTCAGATTCATTCTAGCTAAATATTGATATTTCGTACCTCAAGCTGGCCACTTTGTCCAGTGAGAAGAATTTCGTGCAAAATTTGTAGGCCAAATCGTTCTAAGTAGTTATACTCGCTACAGGAAGTGAATCTAGCCACTCAAGTGCTTTATCCCGCAGAGTGTGTGGGAATAACCCTAGCCTGATAGCATCTTCTAATATTCCTTGGTAACTGAAATGTTGACACATATCCAAGAATCGGGATACATGTGTATGCAGATTCTCGTTGGCCATCCCGTAGAATTGGTGTCCATTTTGGAAGAGTTGGATGATATTCGTTTTTAACTGAAAGTTTGGTTGTTCGAATGCGGGATACACAATGCTGGATTGACTTTGAGCGACGAATGGTGAGAAGAAATCCCCAAGAAGAGCATTCCCATCATATTGTGCCTCTACATTGGCTGGAGCTACAGGATTCAGTATTAGTTCCAAGAGTTGATCGCCATTCATATTTGTCCTTGATCTTTCTGATGTGTTGCTCTTGCTTCCCTCTGTCTGGGATGAAAGGTTCGTTCAATTTCCAAATCAGTTTCAAGTAATTCACAGCTGATTGATTTTCGTATGCAAGATCAGCCTAAGTAGAAGAACTGAGTAAAATATAATATGTAAACTAAAATTAAAGACAAGTTCGAATTAGTGTCTAAGTGACAAAAAAAATCAAACTAATAATCAATCTCTAGCAATGTCGCCAAAAACTTGTTGTATGAAAATATGTTTCGCGCTTAAAACTACTCCAAGTGCGCGGTTCATTGATAAGTAATAAAGTGGAATTTTAGAATTTTGAATATCGTCCCTCAAAGATTGATTTAGTTTAACAATTACCGAAACCTTAACCGAATCTATGAAATTTAAGATGATTATCAAAATTTATGATTAAACTATGAATTATGTGTGCAATGTAAACTAAATTTACTAGCTAAATGCAAATAGATGATCGAATGCAAATTGAAGTTTTCTTATGAATAACAAATGAGCACTAGGATCATGAATCCCCATGCAATGCTCACTTTTGAATCTTGTTCTACAATATTGACAACACGGTTGATAATTTGAAGCATCAATGATCCCAACATATCCAACAATCTCTCTCGAGAAATGTTGGACCTATTCATGTAAACCATCCGACTATATCTCTATAACGAATGCGAATTCACAAGAATGCATGTAGTTTTATGATCACTTAGAGATTCACGCAATTCATAGGGGTATATCTCTATCCCCTATCAGACCCTATGATGATTAATATCTTATCAAATATATTTCTCTTCTCTCGAATGCATGAAATAAATCATTAAATTCACACAATCATATGCATAATAATTGTGGAAACATTAAGTAAATAGAAATCACTCAAAACTCAAGAACATGTTTTAATTGTCAAATATTGTGAAACTAGAAATCAAAGATTACATAGCATGGTTCATCACTCTCCTAGGACAATTAAACCTTGCCTAACATGGTGGAAAGAAAAGAAATACAAATATTTTGTAAACGTCATTACCCGGTTAATTATTGGATTGAATCTTGAAATTGTTCTTTTTGTTTTTTCCTCTGTTCTTGCCTCCAAAACACTCTTCAATTCATTGATTCCGTCCTCCCTCGTTCTGGGATGTTTTTTAGGGTTAAATACGCATCTCCAGATTTGTTACCTAAAGTAGTTGAACGGAATTAGGAAACCAGATTTTTCTCACAGGAAACTAACCATGCGGCCGCATGGTTCAAGAAATTGGGGGCCTTGATTTCCCTGCAACCATGTGTATGACCGCATGATAGATTCTACCATGCGGTCGTATGGAAGAGAACAACTTCCATTCATGTCAATTTGGTCCTTAAGTATTGTTTTCTTCCATTTTGACTTCTTTTCTTCACTCTCCCTATTCTAACATCATGAGTACTCATCAAACTAGGAATTGGCCCATTTATACTCTCAAGTCGTGCCTTAGGTCATCTTTCGGCTACTTGTGCTTTAGTCCCTGAACTTTCGTTTTCTTCCTTTTTTGTCATTTTTTGTATCTTTTCTCTTGAGTTCTTCCATATCCATCAATAAAATGCTATAAAATGAAACAATGTAAAATTAAGCCATATTCAAACATTATTAATAACAATTTGTCCTGTTTTGTGACGGAATAAGTGTTGAAAAATGCACGTATCATTTATATTCATGGTTCCATATCTTAAAGGTCAACATTGATTAAAAAACAAAAAAAAATTAACCCAACCCTTATATGTTGATTAATATTCTTATATGTATTACTCAATATATGATTTTTCACTTGACACTTATTATCCACGAATAACGATATTCTGCCTCACGCAAGTGTCTAAGTGTCAACAAATTAATTAGACATCTTAAATATGACTTATATAACAAACAGCTAGACTAATGCTTTGCATCCATGACATTAATATAGAATAATACTATTTACAGTCGTTCATTGCGGAAGTCGACATACACGACAAATACATGGCAAGTCAATAAAAATTTACCAAATTATCGTATCAAATAAACACCTTTATGTCACGTAGGACGACTGTAGTGACTACGAATAGAATTATTTATTAATATATCATCTCATTATAATTTTCCTAGGGCGATTGTACTGACTACGAATAGCATTATTCATTAATATATCATCTCATTATAATTTTCCTAATCAAAACAAAACTGTTTTTGACTCATTTAAAGTGTATTAGATCTCCAACACTTTGCCACCTACACAGGAACAATCCAGCCCAAATCCCAATTCGTAATTATTAATTAGATTTAGATGATAATTTCATGTATTTGATTATTGACATATAATCAAAATCCGTGTAATCCCCACCCCACTGGACCTCCTCTCGTTTTGTTTTCTTCTCCTTTAAATACCGATCCAAGCCAGCTCTTTGTATATCAGTTTACAGCTCTTTGAAGAAGAAGCCGAATACAATACAATTATTATTGTTATTGTTTCCAAGTCTTCGGCTTTCTCCCTGTAAATTCGATTCCGGTTTTAGGGTCTGTGGGTTTAATTTTCTTGTTCTTTTTATTAATAAAAATAAGAAAGAAGAGTTAAAGATGAGTGAAGAGAGTGTGACCCTTGATCTTCTCAAGAGAAAAATGGATGAGTTTGCAAAGGAAAGAGACTGGGAGAAGTTTCACAGCCCCAGAAACCTTCTTTTGGCTATGGTAACATTTATCAGTTTACAGATAAATTTATTTATTCTTTAGTGTTCATTTATTTAATGCATACAATTTGTGCAGGTTGGAGAAGTAGGTGAACTTTCAGAGATATTTCAGTGGAAAGGGGAGGTTCATAAAGGACTGCCAGATTGGAAAGAAGAAGAAAAAGTACACCTGGGAGAAGAACTTTCTGATGTATTGCTTTACCTGATTAGGCTGTCTGATATTTGTGGAATTGATCTGGGTAAAGCTGCCCTTCGTAAAATGGAACTCAATGCACTCAAATATCCAATCAAAGGATGTTCAAGCAATGTCAGCAACACTAGCACTGCAGATTGACCTGAGAAGTTCTCGACTATACAGTATTAGATCGCACTAAAAATGAAAAGTAGTCAAAATCTTGTTTATTATGCCCTATAATCATATAGCTAAGTCTTACATAAATTGCATTGGTGGGTCTTATTTATTACATTGTGTAGTCACCTTTAATAATATAAGTTAGTCGACGCCGACGGTGGGTTCGGAGAAGTACTTGAATAGTATTCCTTTTACTTTTGGTCATATTGGGTTGATATCATTGACATTTCCTAGTATGGTTGGTATTGTCTTGGCTTTAATTTCTCTGAGATTTTTTTCACTATTTTGGGACATGAAATGAATCCTTTTGGCATATGCATTCCCTTTTGCTCTTGTTTCAATAAATTATTTTTCTTCTTTATAAATTTATTTCATGAAATATTGAATGAATTATAATGAATTACCAAAATTTGCTGGCTAGGCTGAGCATCACTTCAATTCTAGTCAGCTGCGGGGCAGTCAGGTAGTTAGGGATGTTAAACTGATCGAGCCAATCAGCTCCTCTTGGCTCGACCACCCTATGAGCCAGCTCGCTTCAAGGAAGTTGGGTTCACCTCGAATCACAAGCTTGCCCCACCATGGGGCTAGCGAGCCTCAATAATTTTTTTCTTTTTCTTTATGTATAAAATTGATTTCAATTCTTGAAAAATATTAAAGACTTAAATTTAAAAGAAAAATCAAACGAAAAAAAAATTTAATTGTAAAAACGCGAGCCAATGATGGTTTGCATGAATTTTTGGCTTATTGACTAGCATCCACGGTTCCCACCCCTATACGTAGTAGGTTGAAGATTCGAGAGTGATAGATAATCCCTCTTCTATTAGATTAAGAGATTTAGAATCACAATGGGCCATCAATGTAGATTTAACTATTTTAAATAGATGTAGAAAGTTAAAATTTTATTGAAAATCAGTAGCCAAGGCTACAATTATTGGTTGTCGGTTTTAGAGATATATTATTCATTTGTGATCACTGTTATTGATTGCAAGGCATTGATAGACATTGCTTTGAGCAATCGATTTTGATGATTATCAATTACACTGATAGTCGATTGTTGTCGTCCGTGACATCAGGACGGTGAATAGGTGCCCAAAGTGGCTGTTCGCCATTGATGAATACCATGAACTATAGACAATGGAGATATGTGGTGTGATTTGTGACATTGATCATGCAAATTGCAATATTTGTTACTTCGCTCCAAGCCAAAACAAAAAAGTTGAAATCGAATATTTTTTCAATGACGAAAAAAGAATTCTTAGAAGACTTTCCTTCTTTCTATTAGGAATTAAGGACAAGATTATATAACACAATATGAAGTGGTAATCACAACACTAAAAGAACACAGGAAATTTGGCTGTGGAAAGAAGAATTCACTATAATATGGTGAAATAATCCCAACACTATAATATGGAGAAATAATACAAAGATATTGCAAAAATGGTCAAATTTGGTATCAAATTGTCTTTTATACCCTTAATGAGAAATTAAGCATTTTTTTTTTTCAATTTGTCACAAATTTCTAGAAAAAGAAGTAGCTTCATGAGAAGCTACATTAATGCTAAATAATACATAATGGGTCAATTTCCTTTCATTATTTATTAGGTAATGACCAATGATTTTGGGATGAAAGGAAGAAGATGAAATAGGAAAACCATTAATAATAATAATAAAAAAATAACTACATGCTTCTAATTCATAAGAAAATCATATAATTTCATTTCAGAAAATTTAATCTCATTCAAATTTTACGAGTTGATTAGGCTTTCCACAATTCTTGATAGAAGGTAAATTTTTTTTAAAATCTTGTTTTTGTTGATAAGTTGTGTTTACTAGTTGTTAATATATATTTGATTTAAATGGATTAGATTTTTCAAATAATTAGTAAATTTTTGTTGTAAGATTATTGGAACATTTTAAATTCAAATTCATGTTTATTGTTTTGTGTTCCTCAAATATGGTGTCACAACATACTTAAATAAATTTGATAGATTGATTTGCAATGGTAGTTAAGTATTGACAATTTCATTAGTAGTGGAATGAATTCTTTGTAAAAATGGTGGTTGAAGTTGAAGAAGATGATAAATGCATATGGTAAAGTATCTGACCAACATAACGTTCCTGGCATTTATAAAATGTCGAGAATGACACTTTAAATGTAATTCTTGACATTGTTTCAAATGTCAAGAACGATGTTACAAACTTAGCAAAATTACGGAACATTTTTTGTTTAGCATTTACTATATTGCTTGCGGGTAGTATGTTTGTTTTAGGCATTCGCGTTAGCTATCTTATTTGAGTTGATGACATGCAAATATTGGAGATGTTATGAGATTCATTATCTCGCATGGTGGTACATTCATCAACATGGAGGACGAGTGAAAGTGGTTTCGGAATCGAACAACATCAATTGTTATTCGAAGTGACATTAGTTGTGCCAATAAATTGTTCGAAAAGCTTAATCTTGATAGAATGAAATTTCGAATTCACCTAAAATTTAAAGTTTCGAACATGAATGTACCCCCCATTGATGTAGCCGACGACGAAGATTTGCTATAGTACATTTCTGTTTACACACAAGTAGCTTTGTATGTAATTGCAAATTAACATGATGTCATCTGAAATGGTCGCGAGTTCACCTTGTCTAGTACGGTGCTCCAGCTACTCCAATCAACGGTTGCGACCTGCAAAAAGAGGTCGGGGCTTTCTCCCCCATTGTACCTCCAGCTTGAGAATTAGTCTTCAGTATTGGAGAATGTGGAGAGATGATATTGAAATTCAGATAGTTCGGGTTTCAAGAGTCCATCCCTTTCTCATCTTGGAGGTATTTATAGGCATCTGTAGCAATGCATGTGTTCGGTAATTAATGGTGCCANCCTTTCCACTTCCTCCATGTTCTAACGTGGTGACCCCCACTCGTCAAGCGGTTGGTTGTGCTCATATTCGCTGATGGGTGATTTTCGTCCTACGTATTGCCATTTATATGGTTAAGCATAGTATTGACCTCGCAGTGGTAGGTGGTCTATGTGAACGTAGAAGGCCCCATGGGGGTCGACGACCTCATGTGGTACGTGGTTGTAAGATTGTCTTTGTCACTCACGTACGTGGTTGCAAGATTGAGATTGTCACCCACGTACACGGTTGGAAGATTGTCACCCGCGTACACATGGGAGGTGGTAGAAAGCCTCATGGGGGTAGACGGCCTCAGGCGGTAGACCACCTCATGGGAGTGGTAGACGAGCACATGGGGGTCGACGGCCTCATGGTGGTGCTCTACATAGAGTGTATATCATGTGACTTAGCCATTTTGTATAATTATTAATGACATCATGTATCACTAGCCCCTCTATCCCTTGTCGATGTTCATCGGCCAGGGATAACATCTTCACTTCTTCCGTATTGCTTAAATTTTTTCTTTTGGTGTCGACATTCAATACAAGTGGGTCGATCATTTTAATTATAGTAGAGTGGCAAAATACTATACAAGTGGCACCCCAATATCGAGTTTGAGCTTTGGGGTAGAATTTCTCCACAAAAAAGTAAAACTCCACCTCTATCGTGTACACAAATCTTATATCTTCTTCATCTGATGAGAGTGGTGGTGAGGGAACCTCATTCGTCGATAGGCGAGGCTGGTTACTTGATGGTCGACAATCAACCAACAAGGCTGGTTGACCATTGACAAGTCAAGCTGGTTGATGTCGATCAGCCTAGCTGGTCGACCATCGACCAGCTAGGAGGCTAGTCAATGTCAACCAGCCTTGCGGGTCGACGTCGACCTGCCTAGCTGGTTGACCATCAACCAGCCTTTTGGTTGGTGGAACGGTCGACGAGTTTTTCACTCGTCGATCGGTCATTCTGACGCATCGCTCGAAATATTCAAATGTTTAATGTTGAATGCTGAGTCCGGTGATTTGAGCCTTAACCATTTTAGGTTTTGAAAACTCTTCACCCACTCTTAGAGCGATTTTGAGCTAGTTAATTTCTTGACTTTTTTGTTCACCGCTATGCATCGAGCTATTTTGGATCGTCATGGGCAGGGTCAGATGATTTTCAGCCTTATCCATTTCACGTTTTGAAAACTCACCACCAGCCCTTAGTGATTTTGAGCTAGCTAATTTCTTGACTTTTTTGCTCACCGCTATGTGTCGAGCTATTTTGGATCGTCAAATATAGGGTCACGTAATTTTGAGGCTTAACCAATTTTTNTCTTCCGATATCCATTTTTTAGGCTTTTTTGCTCACAGCTGTGTGTCGAGCTATCTTGGATCGTTGAATGCAGGGTCACGTGATTTTGAGTCTTAACCAATTTTTGGTTTTGAAGAACTCGCCACTAGCCCCTAGCGATTTTGAGCTGGGCATTTTTTAGGCTTTTTGCTCATTGTTTGTAGTCTTTATTTCAATCAATTACGAACAACATTCCTAGCTACAATATATACAAACAGTCATTGCATCAAAAAAGCAGAAATAAAAATTCGCCTAGCAATTATATTTTACAAACAGTCATTGCATCAAAAAAGCAGATATAAAATTTCGCCTAGCAATTATATTTACATGCAAGCACTATGCTGCTCAACTTCCCACTTATTGGTCTACTAATAATACTTATTGAAATACTCAGTGTTCCATCGCCTGCTTAGCAATTTTCCTCTGGCCCCAAATTTTTCTCCACGCTAAATTCACGACTTCCTACCACCAAAATGTTTTCCGTAGTATCGAAGGGCACAATTTGCTCCCTTGGAGGCTCAAGGTCTAGCATCATCACTGGTGATGATTCTTTCATCTGTATACTATCAACATAACATTTCCTGGAAGACCGTTGAGTACCCCTCACATACCCCATACCACGACTGATTGGGAATTTCATCACTTGGTGGTAAGTGGAGGGAATAGCCCTAGCAGCATTCAATAATGGTCGACCATAAATAGCATTATATGCCATTGGGGTCTTGACAACCGAGAAGTTGGTTAGGATCACCACCCAT